ATAATTGTTATTTATTTGAAGTACCTAGAGCAGTCAAATTCATAGAGACAGCGTGAATTGGCAGTCCGCAGGGGCTGAGTGAAGAAAGACCAATTATGCAGTTACTCTTTAACATGTACAGTCTCAGATTTGAAAGACGAACATTCTGGAGGTGTATGGTGGTAATGATTGCCTCAAAATGTGAAAGTACTTACTGAACGATATACTTAGTATTTTAAAAAATATTTTTTTCCAAATATTGTTGTAATTTTTTATTTGTAACTGTAGTGTGGTCATCTGACAATTAACTTTATTTTAAAACTAGAGGCCCGGTGCACAAAAATTTGTGCACTCAGCCCAGCCTGTTCCCTTATGCAGTCTGGGACCCCTCGGGGGATGTCCACCTGCTGGCTTAGGCCATTTCCTGGGGGATCAGGCCTAAGCTGGCAGTCAGACATTCTTCTTGCAGCCCGGGAACCCTCGGGGATGTCCACTTGCCAGCGGGAAGCAGGCCTAAGCTGCAGTCAGACATCCTTAGCTCTGCTGAGGAGGCAGGAGAGGCTCACGCCATCACCGCTGTGCTGGCAGCCGTCAGCCTGGCTTGTGGATGAGCAGAGCTCCCACTGTGGGAGAGCACTGACCACCAGCGAACAGCTTCTGCATTGAGCATCTGCCCCCTGGTGGTCAGTGTGTGTCATAGTGACCAGTCATTCCCAGTCATTCTGCTGTTAGGGTCAATTTGCATATTACCCTTTTATTATATAGGAGGAAGGAAGGATAGGATAGAGGCCTGGTGCATAGGTGGGCGCTGGCTTGTTTGCACTGAAGGCTGAACCAGATGAGGGTGGGGATCCCACTGGGGTGCCTGGCCAGGCTGGGTGAGGGGCTGAGGGCTGTTTTCAGGCTGGCTACAGCCCCTTCAAGGTGGGAGGGGGGGTTCCCTCTGGGGTGCCTGGTCAGCCAGGATGAGGGGCTGATGGTCATTTTCAGGCTGGCCATGACCCCCAGTGACCCAAGCTCCCAGCCTCTCCTTTTATTCTTTCTTTTTTTTTTTTTCAGCAGGTATCTGGGATTTATTTATTTTCTATAATTGAAACTGAAACCTTGAGTGGAGCCCAGTGCCGGCCAGGGCTGGTGGGAAGCTTGGCTTCCTCCATCGCAGGGGGCAACCCAAGCCTCCTGCTCGCTCCAGCTCCATGGCCACCACCATCTTTGTGATGGGGTGATGGTTAATTTGCATATTACTCTTTTATTAGATAGGATACATTTTATTAATTTTAGAGAGAAGAATGGGAAGGAATAGAGAGATAGAAACATCGATGATGAGAATCATTGATTGGCTGCCTCTTGCATGCCCCCTACTAAGGATTAAGCCCAAAACCTGTTCATGTGCCATGATGAGGAATCCAACCATAACCTCCTGGTTCAAAGGTTGATATTCAACCACTGAGCCACCCCCACGAGAGGACAATTAACTTCTTTGATTATAATATCAGCTGCCCTTGTCTAAGCCTTTGATCACTGGGGCATCCACTTCAGAGAAATTCATCTGGAATAAACACAATGCCAACCAGCTGTACGACTAGATAAAGAGGCAAGTGGCCCCAGGCATTTCGTGTACCCATCAAGACTTGTGAGTATAACCTTGTGTTTTCAAAAGTCCCTGATCGATGTTGCTGCGGTGTGTCTTGCAACATTGCCTCTGATTAGGGCCTGGATGACTTAAATCATCATTGCCAGGATACTTAGTAATCCCTGGTGGTTTGTGAGCACATCATATAGACATATATGTACTTATAGTTTTCTACTCCTTTGCACTGTCCTCTGTGAGTGCACACTGTTCTGACAACATTCTGGCATTTCGTGCAGCATTTTCACTCCTATTCTACAGGGAAAGAATAATAACCCAGCACATGGTCTTACTAAAATTCCTATGATAAAATTCTGGTTTACTTTTTTCTAAAACTCTAAAGCTAGCAATATCCTTAATTGTATAAAATAAAAATTAAATAATGAGATTATTCTTAAATATTCTAATTGGAAGAAAATCATTGAAGGTAATGTATCAGCCACTGAATTCACAAAATCAAAATTTGGTATTCACTTTCCGACACAGCTGCTCTTTCAAATGTAGTAAAGAGTTGAAGGAAATGCTTCCAGGAATTAGACTCGAGTTAGAAATCTATTTCAGCCATGTATTTGCAGTTTTACTTGGAGCATGTTATTTAATCTCCTTGTATCTCAGTTTCTGCATTTCTAAGTGTGACCCATTATTCACATGCAAACTGTGTTCCAAAGTTTTAATGAAATCTCCATGCAATACACAATCTTGAAGGCTAAATCTTATAGTATGTGCACAATTCATAAATGACAGTTTTGATTAAAAGCAAGTATAGTGTCAGGCATTTCCATTGAAAATGGGGAATAATAAAAATTAAGAGTGAACACAAAATGCCAGGATGTTACAAATTCTGTATGTCATCACTTCCTTTATCCTCCTGGAAACTCTATAAGGGAGCTACTATTACTATCTCCATTTGAAAATGAGGAAGCTGAGGTAGCTATGTTATCAGGTAGATGGCAGCAACAGCTGTTCTCCAAATAAGACGAAAGGGAGAACTCTGCAGGCATGAGACACATACACTCCTATCCACTCTCATCTTCTCATTGTACATCCACTTAAAGGACTACTATTTATTGCCAGCGGAGTGTGGAGGTCTTTTTTGTTTCTTTTTTGTTTTTAACTATAAGCTATTATGCAAATCATTCAAATAATTTGCATAATAGCTTATAGTTGAGTAAAGTAAAGCTACTCTCTTAAATAATTTTAGGATATTAATCTATCAGTTTCCTTTCCTTGGCCTCAAAAGTTTAACTAACGTTCATATACTGCCATCTTGTGGTCATTTCCTAGAATTATCCTTTCACGAGAATGACTTCTCTAAGCCATGAGATGGATTAAGTAACTGAGCCTGGAAGAGAGAAAAAAAAAACAAAAACAAAAACATGGTTTTGCGGCTTTTAATTACTTCATGCCAAAAGACATATTTCTGTTAATGACATATGTAACTGAAGGTATAGAACGGACAGCGCACACCTACGCAAGGCCTAAGATCTCCTGGCAAAGGGGATAGCATTGCGCTCATTGATAAGGAAATCTTGTCTGTGACAGCCAGGTTGCCAAATCCTTAGAACTTTAATGTATCTGGCTTTCTCAAAGATAGCTGCATCCAACGACGCTGTGATGCATTACATAGGTCGCTTTCTGCACTTTCCCACCCCTGCCCCCTGCAGCGGGAAGTCCTGACCAGCCCTATTGTCTGATCTCTCTAAACTGTCTTACCCATGGCCAACTGTCCTACCTCTTCCCTGGTGCAGTGTACCACTGTATAATGACTTGGAACACATCTATTGTAAAATGATCCCTGTAATAAGTTTAGCTTCCATCAATCCCTTCATATAGTTGCATATTTTTTCCCTGGTGATGAGAACTTTTAAGATCCACATTCCCAGCAAGTTTCAAATACACCATACAGTAGCAGTGTTCCTGATAATCATGAGGTGGTACATGGCACCCCCAGTACTTTTCTATCTTATAATTACAACTTTGCATATTTTGACCACCTTTCTCCAATTCTCATCCCATGCCTCTGGTAACCACAGATGGGATCTCTTTTTCTATACGTTTGATTTCTGTTTGCTTGTTTGTTTAGGTTCTACAAAGAAGTGAGACCAAATAATATTTTGTCTTTCTACATCTGCGTTATTTCACTTAGCCTAATGGCCTCCAGAGCCCTCCATGTGTGGCAAATGACAAGATACCCTCTTTTAATGGCTAAGTTGTAACCCACTGCATAAATATTTCACATTTTTCTTTACCATTTATCTGTAAATGGACATAGGCTTCCCTCCACCATGTATGGCTACTGTAAATAATTTTGCAATGAACAAGGGCGTGCATATAATTTTCCGTGTTGTGCTTTTGTTTTCTTTGGATAAATATCTCAAAGTGAAATTTTTAGGGATTTTTCTTCTTTATATAAACTTTCAGAAAGGAAGAGCACAGTTATGGAAAATATCCTGAAACTGAAAAGAAAATACAGTGGGGCCTAGACTTATGAGTGTCCCGACTAATGAGTTTTTTGAGATACCAGCTGTCTCTCACCGATTTTTTGCATTGAGTTGATAGAGTCATTTGAGTTAACGAGCTCCTTAACGAGCTCGGTCTCAGAACGAATTAAACTCGTAAGTCAAAGCCCCACTGTTCCAGGTACTGGGCTCTCTGGGTAGCCATACAATACACTTCACTAATTTCTTTAATGTTCAGATTCAGGAATACTTACATCTTTATTTGAAATGAGGAAGGCAATACCCTCTATATTTTATGAAATACGCTTTGTATATAATCAGTGCGGAATCCATATTTTTTAAGGCACACGGGTTTTTTTCCTGCTTTACACATGAGTACAGTTAAAGCAGTGAAACAATAAGACACTTAAACCACTTGCAATGAGGCAATATTTACCTTGCAATTAATGAGCCTGGACTCTTTGTTTGCTTTGTAAATTACTTTAATGATTGATTTAACATAGAAGTAAAGTTGCTAAGTGAAGAATTATTATTCATGTACGTTTGCAGAGAAGACAAACACCAGGTTTGTTGGAGATGTGAGAAAGCAGGGGAAGGAGTTAAACGGAGAACGAGGAAGCCAGTTATGCCATCAACTGGATTTTGTCAACCTACAAACACTAACTCGCGTGGTTTAAATATGGGGCAGGTGTTAACTGGGCCTTTCACTCCAGAAGTAAGAAATAAAACGATGTTCCTTCAGGGAGTAGCAGGACAGGAGTGGGTGGCATTGGTGCAACTATCTGAGGCCCATGTATGATTAATGAAAATAAGGATCTCAAGTATAATTAAAAACAAATGAAATTCAGCAACAGCTACTGAAGCAAAATCAGGAGAAAGACACAATCCAGCGGACATTTCACTAACAGCGTGTTACAGCTCTGTCACCAAGGTTACTTGATCTCAGTGGTGCAAAGGCAAGTGGCTTTGCATTGTAGTGTGACTGACAGGGCGCGGCATCCAGGAACCACTTTCTGTATATCGCAGTCAGTGTATTCATCATAATAGGTGCAGGGGTTAGCTGAACGGAAAAAGCAATGTTATCTCACACAATCACAGTCAGTGGGGAAAGAGGGCAGCCCTAGCGACATAAACATAAAATTGACCAACAATAGCTTATTCATTTTGATTATCATGAACTAATAAAATTAGAACGGAAAACAGGTAATGAGTTAAATGAGGTCAGTCATTAAAGAAAAATAAAAAGATGAAAGTCGCCTCTGACATTAAACAGGTTGTTTTAATCACTATTTATTTATTTATTTATTTATTTATTTTTGGTTAGACATATCTAAGCAGATTGGAGATGAGTCATTTTGAGATCATCAACCTCATAAACTATATATAAGAGAGTTTTATTGATGTGCTGTATTCTGCTTATATGTTGCTCTACCATTTGATAGGTAAGGAATTGCTTTGGATTATTAAAATTAATATATACCCATATATACTAGGGTTTGTTTCTGGGCTCTCTATTCTATTCCATTGGCACTTGTCTGTTAAGCCAGCACCACTCTGATTACTATAGCTTTGTAATAAGCTTTGAAATCAGAAAGTGTAAGTCATTTAGCATTGTTCGTGAAAAAAATTCATATATGGCCAATGTAAAAATCGTATAAAATCCACACATAGCATAGCAAAATTTCTCAAATAACCTCTTTACCCAGAGATTTTCTTATATAACAAGGCAGTGGGCTCTCTATTATGAACAAGCACATATCTATATCAATGTTTCTTTAAATCAGCAATCATTATTCCACTGTCTTCTGTTATGTAGTATTTTAGAGAAATATGATGTGAGAGATGTGTATTTCTTTTTATGTAACATGTTTTTCTTTGACTTCTCTAAATTGTTTTTATTATCCTTTTTTCTTTTATTCTTTACTCTCCCTAGTTTTATTGAGATATAATTGATATAGAACATTGTATTCATTTCAGGTGTACAACACAATATTATGATGTATGTATACATCATGTATACATCACAATGTATGTATACATCACAATGTATGATGTGAAATGATTAACAATTAGTTTAGGTAGCATTCATAACCTTACATAGTTTTTTTTTCTTCTGATGAGAACTGTTAGGATTTACTCCTTTAGTAACTTTCAAATATATAATACACCTTTAACTACTGGCAAAATGCTGCACATTACATGCCCAGAATTTATTCTTTCTCTAACTGGGATTTTATACCTTTTAATCACCTTAACTCATTCTTCCCGCACCCCATCTCATAGCCTCTGAAAACCACCAATCTATTCTCTGTTATGAGTTTGGACTTTTTTAGATTCCACATATAAGTGAGGTAACATATTATTCATTTTTCTCTGTCTGACTCACCTCATTTAACATAATGTCTTCAAGGTTCATCCATGTTTTTGCAAATGACAGAATTTGCTTTTCTTTATGACTGATTAGTATATCACATTTTCTTTATCAATTTGTCTGTCAATAGACAGGTTGTTTCCATGTCTTGGCTATTGGTGCTAACAATGAACAGATACCTTTTTGAGTTAGTGTTTTCAGTTTCTTTGGATAAATACCTAGAAGTAGAGTTGCTGGATCACATGATAGTTCCGTTTTGAATTTTTCCAAGACTCTCCATACTACTTGCCAAAGTCACTGCCCCAATTTACATTTCTGGGCTCTCTCCTTTGTCCCATTGACCGATGTGTCTGTTTTTAGGTCAGTCTTATACTGCTTTGGTGACTAAAGTTTGTAATATAGTTTGAAATCAGGAGTGTGATACCTTCAGCTCTCTATTTCCCCTTAAGATTGCTTTGGCTATTTGGGGTCTTTTGTGGTTTCATACAAATTTTTAATATTGATAGTGACATTTCTGTGAAAAATGCTAAAGGAATTTTTATAGAGATTACATTAAGTCTGTAGATAGATTTGGGTAATGTGTACATTTTAGCAATATTAGTTCTTATAACACATAAGTGGGTAATATATTTTCATTTATTTGTGTCTTGATTTTTTTCATCAATGTATTATAATTTTCAGTATATAGATCTTTTACTGTCTTGAATAAATTTATGCTTAGGTATTTTATTTTTCTCTGTAATTGTAACTAGGACTGCTTTTTAAATTATTTTTCTGATTGTTATTTGTGAGTATAAATACAACTAAATTTGGTATAATGGCTTGTATCCTGCAACTTTATTAAATTCAATTGTGAATCCCAACAGATTTTGGTGAAATTATTAAAATTTCCTATATCTGCAAATAAATCGAATCAAATCAATGGTTAATATTAAGCAAACTGGGATGTAAAACTTACTACAAAGTTTGTCTTCACAGTTTTTTGGACAATCTTGACATGAATCTCCTATAATATAAGGCATACTCCTTAGTTCAGGCTCATTTCCCCTTAAGAAAAAAGAAAAAGTGGTCTCATAAATTTGAAGTTTGAAAAATACATATAAAAATGTACTCTCTATTTACTATCAACTTTAAGGACAATTTTTGAAAACCACTTGTATATGACAATGTTAATCTTTTAGATAAGTTTAATATTTCTAGACTTTGTAAGTTGTACAATGAAAATTTATCTTTTTAAATGTGCAACAGGGAACTCTGGTGTCCTAAGAATATTTTGAGGCAGTTTGTACCTCTTTGAACAGTCAAGTCCTAAGCAGAATGACTTTAGAGCCATTTACAATAGGAAATTTTTCTTTATACCCCTAAGTACTTGATAAATAGTCACAGGAAAGTACATGGTTCTTAACAATGTGAAAAGTTTTAAGTGAGTGGAGTTGTTCTAAATTTATCTTGCACTATGTGATAAGAAAATTGAAACATGTTACTGTCTTTTATAGAAACAGATGAAGTATTATACAAAGTAAAAGTACACCATATTTTACTCAACCTAAAGAGCTGGAGGACAGAGTGAGTAGGTAAGACTTTCCAACTCTGAGATAATTTAAAAGACAGGTTTGCCTGCAGATATCTAAAGAAAGATTAAGCCGAAACCGGTTTGGCTCAGTGGATAGAGCATCGGCCTGCGGACTGAGGGGTCCCAGGTTTGATTCCGGTCAAGGGCATGTACCTGGGTTGCGGGCACATCCCCAGTAGGAGATGTGCAGGAGGCAGCTGATCGATGTTTCTCTCTCATCGATGTTTCTAACTCTCTATCTCTCTCCCTTCCTCTCTGTAAAAAATCAATAAAATACATTAAAAAAAAAATAAAGAAAGAAAGATTAAGTTGATTATTACTTCATAAAAAGTAAAGCAAATGTTTTGGCCAAAAGATATTCTATCTACTATTTTTTCTCCCTGATCTATACATTGTTAAAAAATTTACCATATAAAATACTTTTATTACTTAATTCAGTAAGGGAACTTGTCAGATACACCATGAAATCTTTTTTGCTAAGAAACTTGTTCAATCACAACCCCATGCTTTCTACTTCTTTTTGTATTGTCAACAGTTCAACACAGACCACCAAGCCCTTCAGAGATTTAGCACAATTTATGGCTTTTAAATGAAAGCAGATCATTATTTTTCTCAGCACTAACTACATAAGATTAAAAAAAAATCACAGCAAATACGAACTACTAAAATAAAGATATAATAAGACCAGAAATAACTCACATGGACCTATTATATGAATATTAGAGGCCCAGGGCACGAATTCGTGCACAAGTGCAGTCCCTCAGCCTGGCCGCTGATTGGGACCATCTTGCCCAGTACAGATCAGGGACAATGGGGGCTGGGGAGGGACCACAGCAGGTTGGCCAGCCAGCCAGAGAGGGACCATGGAGGGCTCCAGGGTGTGTCCGGCCCTCTCGCCAATCCTGATGGGCCGGACCCCAGCAGCAAGCTAACCTACCAGTTGGAGAGTCTGTCCCCTGGTGGCCTGTGTGCATCATAGCAATTGGTCGAGTAGTCGACCCAACATTCGACCTATTAGTCGAACACTTAGCATATTGTTTTATTGTATAATATGTTATATAAATTGACTCTACAGTGATTTTGGAGACATCATTTAAAGTGTAAAGGTGATAGCATATGATCAGCTAAATCATTTTCATTAGTTCATACTAAACATCTTTTTATTGTGCTACACATATGGGAGGCAGTGGCAAAATACCATGGGACAAAGGAGCACACCTGCCCTTCACTAAAGCAATCAGATTATTTCTTCTAGGAATTGGCACTCACACTGTTGGTAATATATAAACTTAATTTTTAAAGAAAAGACATACATTGATAGTTATACTAAAAAGCTAAAGACAAGAACACTTGGCTTTTTCTGTTTGTTCTTGATACTCCATTGTATTTCTGCCCTTGCATTATAAAAATACTCTGCATTGTTGAAGTAAATATCCCTGTTTTTTACTTATGCTAGCTCAATAACACATAGCAAGACTATTTGTAATATTTCTGAATTTAAATATTCTATTAGTGATTATTCACTAAATAATTAGTGAATTATTTAGAAAAATAGGATGTAAAGTGTGTGTGTTTGTGTGTGTGTGTGTGTGTGTGTGTGTGTGTGTGCAATGTTTTAGGAATAGCTAAATAACTGAAATGTAATATTTATTTAATTTTTATTCTCTGTTTGAGGAACTAGAATAAAAGCTATGTGAACCCAGACTGTATAATACATACTCATGGCAATAGTGACAAACATAGAGGAATTGAGGTGTCAGTTTTTGGCAGCATGATGACACACCACAGCCAATGAGGTAAGAGGAAGACCAAATAATCTGTAAATATAAAGAGATTATTTTGTTAAAATTTGATTATTTTCTATATGATTATAATATGACTATTGTTATCTATGATTTAAAATAAACATCTTTGCTATTAGGATGCTTTCATCATAGCTATGTATGAAATCTTAAAAACAGAACGATTCTCATGTGTCTAGTGGTTGGTAGGAAATGGTTGAGATTTTGTTTCCTCACTTGGGTTGGACGAACTAGAAAGGACCTTATTTGCAAGGTTCTAATGTGCTATATGCTTCCCCAAGCAATTTTTTTTTTCATTATTTAGAGCTCAGATGGTAAGCTATTCCATAATTCAGTTCCCAGGCATGAAAAGACATAGGAAATAATGGATCTACCTCATTATAGCTGAAGAAGAAATGCAAACCCACTGACACCTGCAGCAAAGGACTATATTCTAGAACATTTAAAGTGCCAACAAGAATGAGAAATTGTGGGAAATTAAGATATTTGAAAACAGCTATGCATTTGGGGACATGGAAGAGTCCAAAACATAGTCTCAGGCATGATACTTGCTTAGAAAAATAACATGAGACAACCTCTAAGTTTCACCCTAGTTTGATCCCCAGTCTCAAAATGTACCCTGTTAATTAATCAAGGTCATTCCTACAAAATGGCAAAGACTGGGAAAAGTTGCTTTTTTGTTCAAATGTCTTATTTTTGACAACAAAAAAAATCACAAGTTATATGAAGAAATAGAAAAACATGTCTCATTCAAAGGGACAGATGGAATCACAGAAACCCTGAATATACACAGGCGTTAGACTTTAACATAACTGTCTTAAATATGCTTAAAGAGCTAAAGAAAAACACAGAAAATAACTAAAATAAATCAGGGAAACAATATATTCAAAAATGAGAATGTCAACAAAGATTAAAAGCTTTTTTAAAGAGCCAAAGAGAAATTCTAGAGTGGCAAATAGCATAACTAAATTCAAATAATGTACAAGAGGTGATCTATAACAGATTTGAACAGGAAGAAGAAAGCATTGACCAACTATGAGACAGGTAAATTGAAATTATTGTATTTGACAGAGGCTAGGGGGTTTACGGGACATCATCAAGTAGACCCATATATACATTTTGGGAGTGCTACCAGGAAGATATAGAATAAAAGGAGTAGAGAGATCATTTGAAAACATTATTGTTTAGGATTTCTCAAATTTGAAAAAATAATTTGATGTACAAATCCAAGAAGATCAATGATCTCCAAGTTGAATACAACCAGTACTAAGATATATTATATTCAAACTGTCAAAAACTAAAGATTAAGAAAGAATCTTGAAAGCAGAAAAAAAAAATACTGTGACTTATCATGTACAGGAATCTGCAATAAGATCATTAGAGAATTTCTCAGCATAAAACTCACAGTACTGAAGACAGTGGGTGATACATTTAAAGTTCTGAAAAAAAAAATAGTAGACCAAAAATCATATACTGTATCTTACAAAACTGTCATTCAGAAATGAAGGAGAAATTAAGATATTTTGAGCAAAACAAAGTCTGTAGGAGTTTATTGCCAATAGATCTGCCTCACAAAAAAATTCTGAAGGGAATTCTTTAAGTGAAATGGAAAGAAAGTAAACAGTACCTTGAAGACATATGAAAATATAATATCTCCAGTAAAGTAAATACATGGTAACATATAAAAACCAAGATCATTGAAATTTTGTTCTGTAGTGCTATTTTACAATTATTACATGATTTAAAAATAAATGTATAATAGTAATAACTCTTTCTTGTAAAAATAATGTGTTGCATAAGCAGGGTGCTAGAACTATAAATCAGCACTTTTTGTATGCAACTGGTTATCAGTTAAAACAGATTATTATACTTTTAGAATATTACACATAATTCACATGGCAACGAAATAGAAAAATATCTATAGTAAATACACAAAAGGAAATGAGGAGGGAATCAATAGGTGCCACTACAAAAAGCCCACTAAATAAATAAACAAAAAAGATGGTAATGGAGAAAATGAGGGACAAAAAAAGAAAAAAAAATATGGTTTCCAAAATGTAAGAAATAAAACACTCCAGCCAATACCAATGGGATATACATTTTGTCAAATACACATGGAAAAATCACCAAGATAGACTAAATGTTAGACTACAAAACTAATTTTAATATATTTAAAGTCTTAAATATAACAAAGTATTTTTTTCTTATCACAAAGGAATGAAACCAAAAATCAAAAGATGAAAGAAACTGGAAAATTTACTAATATGTGTATATTAAAAACACAATCTTTACAAGTGGGTAAAAGAGAAATTAAGTGGGAAGTTAGAAAATATCTTAAGACAAAAATTAAAAATTCAACATACTAAAACAGGGTTAAAGCAGCAAAAACAGTGCTAAGTTACACTTATAGATATAAATGGTCACATTAAAGAATTAGATCTCAAATCAATAGTATAAAGTTTTATTTTAAGAAACTCGAAAAATATAATAAGTTAAACCCAAAGCTAGCTGAAGGAAATAACAGAGATTAAAGTATAGATAAACAAAATAAAGAATAAAAAAATCAATAAAACCAAAAGTATTAATCTTCTTCAAAAAGATCAATACAATTGATAAATTAGCTAGATTAAGGGAAAATAGAATGATCAAATAAATTACATAGAGGAAATCAATGTTTCTAAGAGGTGATTCTTCAAACAGAGAAACTGCAATACAAAAGCTTTAACAAAATAAAAAAAGATCTGCCTCTGATCAGTTCACTGGTGAATTATACCAAATATTGAAAGAATAATGAATATCAATAATTTTTAAAGTCATCTAAAAGTTTCAAGATGAAAAAATACTTTTTAACAATTACTATAAAACCAGTTTTATTCTAATACTGGAGACTGACAGAGACACTACAAAAAAGAGTCAGCTACAGCCTTGGCCAGTGTGGCTCAGTTGTTTGCGCATCGTCCTGTGCAGTGAAGGGTCACAGGTTTGATTCTCTGTCAGTCGGTAAAAGCACATGCCCAGGTTGCAGGTTTGTTCCCCAGTGAGGGTGCACACTGGAGTCAACTGATTGATGTTTCTTTTTCACATAAACATTTCTCTCTCTCTCTCTCTCTCTCTCTCTCTCTCTCTCTCTCTCCCTCTCTCTCTTTCTTTCTCTCTCTTTCTCTCTCTCTCTTTTTCTCTCTCTCCCTTTCCTTTCTCTCTCTCTAAAATCAATTTAAAGAAGAAAGTAAACTACAATCCAATATCCCATATGAATAATGTAAAACTCAACAAATTAAATTCAGAATCATATGAAAAGTAACATTATTATATTTAAAATCATTTTTCTTTTTTTTTCTTTTTTTTAAATATATTTTATTGATTTTTTACAGAGAGGAAGGGAGAGAGATAGAGAGTTAGAAACATCGATGAGAGAGAGACATCGATCAGCTGCCTCCTGCACATCTCCTACTGGGGATGTGCCGGCAACCCAGGTACATGCCCTTGACCGGAATCGAACCTGGGACCTTTCAGTCCGCAGGCCGACGCTCTATCCACTGAGCCAAACCGGTCTCGGCTAAAATCATTTTTCTTAAAATACTAATGTTTATTGGATATAAATGGCTAATTATTTTGTATCTACAATCTTGTAATAGATTTATATGGCATATTGTAAAAATTAAAATAGAATTAAAAAAAAGAATTATACACTGTGACAAAGTAGGACTTATTCCTCCAAAATAAGGATGGTTTAACACATAAAAATAAATCAATGCAGACTAACACATGAATACAATGATGGGAAAAAGACACATGATTACATAAATTGAAACAAGCATTTTATAAAATTCAACATCTCATTATACAAAGTGTTCAACAAACTGGTAAGAAAAAACTATTATAACATAGTAAAAGCCACATATGTAAATCTCTCTGCTAACATCATAATCAATGGGAAAGGTGGAATTATTCCCAAAGATCAGCTACAAAAAAAGAGTGCTGACTTTTGCAACTTCTATGAAACAAGGTGCTGAAAATTCTAGCCAGAGCAACTAGACAAGAAAAAAATCCAATTAGGAAAGGAAAGAGTAAAATTATCTGTTCATAGATGACATAATTTTATATATAGGAAACCCTGACAATGCCACAAAAAAAATCATTACAATTGATAAACAAATTCAGAAAATCTGCAGAATACAACATTAGCACAGGAAAATCAATTGTGTTTTCATAAACGTGCAGTAAACACTCTGAAAAAAATTAAGAGAATAATTTTATTTAAAATAGCACCAAAAAATACAATATTTACAGGGATCAGCAAAAGCAAGTTAATAACCATTATAAAGAATGCTACAATGAATAAATAATATCAGAATAAACTGTGTTTTACATACTTACAATTATAAACCTACTTTTGTCTACCCTGGTATAAATAAACCTAAGTTGGTGAAAGATTTGTATACTGAGAACTAGGAAACATAGCTGGTAGATATTAAAGAAGACTGAAATGATAAGAAAGCTATACAATGTTCATGGGCTGGAGGACTTCATATTTTTATCATAATAACATTACTCTAAGCATTCTACAGATTAATGCATTTTCTGTCAGAATTCCAATACATTTTCTTTTCACAAAAAAAAAAAATATCATCCTAAAGCAGAACAAAGTTGGAGGTCATACACTTTTTGATTCCAAACCTTAGTAAAAGCTACAGTAATACAACTGTGGTTCTGGCATAATGATAGACATATACACCTATAAAATAGAATAGAGACCTCACAAATAAACCCTCACACAAATGGTTAAATGTTTTCCAACAGGGTGCCAAGATTATTCAATGGGTAAAGAAAAGCCTTACCACAAATACTGTTGGGAAAACAAATATCCACATGGAAGTAAACAAAGTTCAACCCTACCTTACACCACATAAAAAAAATTAACTCAGAATGGATCAATGACCTATATATAAATGTGGAAACTATAAATGTCTTAGAAAGTAACAAAAGGGAAAAACTTCATGAAATAGAATTTGGCAATAATTTCTTGAAATGGCACTAAAAGCACAGGCAAGAAAACAAAGAGATAAATTATACTTTATAAAAATTTGGATCATAAATAGGATACCATCATCAGAGTAAATATGCAACTCATACAATAGAAATTTATATTTACAAATTATAAACTTAATAAAGGGTAGGTATCTTCTAACTAAAAAACAAACAAAACTGATTAAGCAAAGGATTTGAATAGACATTCCTTCAAAGAAGATATACAAATGTCTGGCAAGCACATGAAAAGGTGCTCAACATCACCAATCATTAGAGAAATGCACAACCATGCCACAGTGAAATACCACTTCAGACCTGTATTTTCTTTAATATATCAAATAAACAAAAACCAGCACTAACAAAAAAACAACATAAAATACTAGAGGCCTGGCGAATGAAATTTGTGCATTCAGGGAGTCACTCAGTCCAGCCTGCACCCTCTCGCAGTACAGTCTGGGAGCCCTCGGGGGATGTCTGACTGATGGCTTAGGCCTGCTCCCCATACATCCTTAGCACAACTGTGGAGGGGGGAGAGGCTCCCACCACAGCCGGTGTGCTTGCCAGCCATGAGCCCGGCTTCTGGCTGAGCAATGCTCCGGGAGCGCACTGACCACCAGGAGTCAGCTCCTATATTGAGCATCTGCCCTCTGGTGGTCAGTGTGCATCATAGCAACTGGTCGTTCTGCCGTTCCATCGATTTGCATACTAGCCTTTTATTATATTGGATAAAAAGTGTATGTGTTAGGTATTGAATGTTACATCTCCTCAATATTCATATTCCGAAGCTTTAATCCAGAAGTATGGCTCTATTTGGAGAAGCTTCTAAGGAATTAGTTTAGGTTAAATGGGGTCCGAAAGGTGGGGCCATGATATAATAGAACTAGAGGCCTGATGGATGAAATCCATGCATGGGTAGGGACCCTAGGCCTAGCCAGCAATCAGGGCTGATCGAGGCCTTCTGGCTGTCAGCTGGGGCCTTCCTTCAGCTGGCAGGCAGGGCTTTCCTTTGTTCCATGCCGCCCCATGGTGGTCAGTGCACACCATAGTGAGTGGTAGAACTCCTGGTTGGTCGAACTCCCGAAGGTACAATTTCCAGATTAGCCTTTTATTATATAGGATTAGTGTGGTGATATTGTGGGTAGCTTATTATAAGGACACTAATCCTATATAATAAAAGGCACCAGAGAGTACCTTCTCCCCACCCCTACCTCTCTTCAGGTATGCACAGAAGAAAGACCATGTGGCAACATAGTGAGAAGATGCCCACATACAAGCCAGGAAGAGAGCTCTCACAGAAAGTGACTAAACTCCAGATGTTCACAGACTTAAAGCTTCCAGAAATGTGAGATAATAATTTTGTGTTGTTTAATCCACCCAGCCTGAAATGAATTATTATGGCAGCCCAAGCAGACCAATACAGTATGGATGTGAAGAAATTGGAAATATTGCTGTCAGGAATGTAAAAATATAAAGCTGCTATGGAAGACAGTATGGCAGTTCCTTAACTAATTAAACATAGAATTATCATATGATCCATCAATTCTACATCCAGGTATATTCCCCAAAATAACTGAAAACAGGATATGAACCAATATCTATATACCAATATTTTTCACAACATTATTCTCAATAGCCAAAAGGTTGAAACAACCTAATTATCTATTGATGGATGAATGGATAAACAGCAGGTTGTATATACATATAATGTACAGCCTTAATAGGTTGAAACACATGCTATAACATGAATGGACATGGATTAAGCATGTTATGATAAATGAAATAAGGCAGACATTAAAAGACAAGTATTGTACGATTCTAACTATGTGAGGTATCTAGAGCTGTCAAATTTAAAGAGACAGAAAATATACTGGTGGCTGCCAGAGGAAGGGGAGAGGGAGATATGGTAAGTTATTATATAATGGGTACTGAGTTTTAGTTTGGAAAGATGAAAAATTCTGGAGATGGATAGGGGTGATAGTTGCAAAATAATTTGAATGCAGTTAATGACAGTGAACATTAATGGTACACACTTTAAAATGACAATTTTAATAATTTATATGTATACGAGAGGCCTGGTGCACAAATTCATGCACATTGAAAAGAAATTAATTAGAAGAAATATTTTGGAGGCTGGGGAGGGACTGTGGGAGGTTGGCTCCAGGGCATGTCTGGCCCATCTTGCCTAGTCCCAATCATGGCCCATGGGGGCCTTCTCACCCAGTCCCCATTGGGGCCAATCAGGGACAGCCTGCCAGGGAGGGACTGTAGGAGGTTGGCCAGCAGGGGAGGGTCTGCAGGAGGGCTCCAGGGAGTGTCCAGCTTGTCTTGCCCAGTCCCGATTGGCCAGACCCCAGCAGCAAGCTAACCTACCAGTCAGAGCGTCTGCCCCCTAATGGTCAGTGTGCATCATAGAGACTGGTCAAGCGGTTGACTGAACAGTCGACTGACTGGTGGGACACTTAACGTATTAGGCTTTTCTATATATAGATTATTTTACCACAATAAAAATAAACTGGAAAGAAGGGGATTCTCTGTATTGTTACAATTATTTTCATTCTTTAAAAATATAACTTATAAATTACATTGGTATATTAATATTTATTTTTCACTTCCCAGAAAATAAATTATGTAAAGAAGGAACTTATAAGAGGAATTCAGTAGGTCAAGTATAAGTTTGAAAAAAGTGGGTAGAATGATTGCCCTTGGTTATCAGTCACCTATTTTTCACACATGATCATAGTCGCTTAAGCAATGTGTATATTTGCCAGTTCACAAGTTACCTGAGTGTAATGATCAACTGTTTGGTCATCATCTGCCCAGACACCATAGTCAAAATATTTAGATTCATTGTGCCAGAATCCAATCACGTCTGTCCATGTGATAGGATAAGGAGTCAAATACTTGTTTTCGCCACAAAAAGTATCTGAAAGAAGGGAAAAGGGTTGGCTCATACTCTAAAATTTTGAAAGTACTTTAGAAGGATGACTTCCTTATTTTTACTTTATAAATGATTTGCTGGCTATCCAAGCAATATCTTATAAGAGGAGGTGAGCTCAGTGGTTTCTCTGCTGGCAATCTTTTCCCTCTTGGATGAGTACACTTCTGGTGCTCGGGTCTGGTAAGACATTGACAGCAGAAGATGATGTGTGAGGCTTAGAAATCAAATCAATCAACATTTCAGTCTTTGTCGCCTCCAAGCTGATAAGAAGGGTGAAATCAGTCAGAGCAGACTATGAGTTGTAACAGGGCCCATGGTTTGAAAGGAGCCACACAAAAGTATGAATCATGTAAAGTCCTTGAAATAAGCACTTACTCACTTAACCATCCCACCTGTGAGGTGAGTTCTAATCAAATATGGCGTTCAGGAGTGATCTGCATTTCTCTGGGGAAGGAAAGACTCGCATTGCTAATTCACTGCTCAACAATATTGGGCAAATATGGAGGTTTCACTAGTATTTTTTAATATTTTGTGATAAACAAATATCTTATAAATATTATTAATCTCTGCATTCATAGGAAGTAGCATTGGCTTTCCTGGAAACTAACAGCGACTGACCTATTATAAACGCCATGAGATAGACTCATATTTGAACACCTACAATTGTTCTTCTGGGAAGCTCAGTAGGGTTGAATATAACTTCTCAACTGTACTAGTGTTCCAAAGCTTAAGGTCTGGTGATATAGAGGGTAGCTGAAATAACTGCATAGAGTAGATAGCTAGAAGGTGTCCATCACTCAACTATTCGGTAACACTGAGAGCTTTTATTCTCTCCTTATGATAATTAGAATCTGAAAATTGAAAATCCAAATTAAATAATAATAATGAAATAGTATTATTATAAATAGTGGGCCACAATTCACCATCATTTATGGGGCAAATATAAACACAGATGGCATGACTTTCCAGGTGTCTTCGCAATCCCTGAGGACTTGTGAACACAAAGGTGAGTCATAGACATACACCTACTTGTAATTCTTCTCTTAAGTGCGTTGCTCTGTGCCATGTCACAATGCTTTGCCAATTCTCTGGCATTGTTTGCAGCTTCGTTATTCCAACTCTACAGCGGCAGAGTAAAATACAAACACATGATCTTAACATTTCCATAATAAGATTCCAATTTATTGTTATTAAGAATCCAAGGCCAGAAATATACTCAATTTAAATAATTGAAGTTAATTTAAATAATTATACTGCTTTAAACAGTCTAGTTGAAAGAGAAAGACAAAACTTTCAATTCATTCTTTTAGCCTTTATGCTTTCAAAATCAAAATTTGATAACACATTTCAGATGTAGCTTCTCTCTCAGAAGCATTAAAGAGGTTAAGTAAATACTTCTTGGAAAACATACCAGGGTTAGAAATCCTTCCCATCACTCATTAGTACATAGTAGTTAGTCTGTTGGAATCTCAGTTTCTTCCTTTGTAAAATGTAATCCATACTTTATACCAAATAGTTTGTGCAAAAATTTTAATATGATAATTGATGCAATACAATTGTGATGTGATAAATCTTATGTTACACATTCAATAAATAAATAGTGGCTGTGATTAGAAGCAAGTGTAGTGTCACATATTTCCTATAAAATTGTGTATAATAAAATTTATAGCTAATACTTCATGCCAGGATCGGTACCCAATTCTATATGTATATTGTCTTATTTTTACTCACAGATTGCTTGTCATACATACTGTGATGCACTACCCAGGTCCCCTTGTGAACTGAAGCTTTTATTTCCTCTTAAGCTGAGCGTCCGGCCCACAGACAACTCTATTATTGCCTGTGCTCCCTAAAGTTGTCCTTATCCATGAGCATAATCCCTTCCCTGGGGTAGCCCATATCCAACAGCTAGCACACATGGCATCTGTAACTTCTAGGACACTTCCCTCCAACTCAGGACAGCTCAGCAGGGTTGTGTCCTAGTTGGTTAGCTTCCCATGGGATTAGCTAAAGCCTCTGCTCGGACTGTGTCACAATCCCATTCCTCCGTTTGCCCCATGATGCTGCTCGCTCTCCCTCCATAGGTAAGTGTACATCTGTAATTGTTCCCCAAATAAATATGCTGCATGATAATTTCCATCTCAGAGTCAGCTTAGCTTATTGTGTAAATTAACGGCAGCATTCATTACACAGAGTCTGTTGTTCAGACCTCTTTGAGGATGCTCTGTAGGACATTATGTTGGCAAGATACTCTGTTTTTGTGATACTAGTACATCCCTGATTAAAATAGCAAGTGAGTGTTTATGGTTATTGCTCCAAAGTCATGAAGTCTGGTTTTGACAAGTGTTTCTGTTTAATCTGGTCCTTACTCACTATACAGAAACTTTTTTTTTTTTTTTAT